ATCCCTGAGCGGGCTGTGAACTGCTACGAATGGCGATGGAGGGTGGAAGCACCGCTGCATCTCTGTGCTAGGTGCTGCATGCACACACAAAACGTGGTCCCTGTTGGAAAGGTTACAGACCAGAAAGGACTGTTTTTAATATATTTTCTGAAGCTAAAAGGAGGTAGGTTGCCATCCCTGCTCCCCCATGACCTCTCCTTCCTCTCCAGCCTGGTTCCAGACCCTCCCAGGGCACAGGGCTCTGTGGGGCAAGTTGCTCCCCACGGAGGGTTAGCTGATGCATTTTCTAAGCCACAGCAGCTCTGGCAGAAGTATTGCATCTCTCGCTATCAGCATCCAAAGGAGAAGAAATATCAGGGTCCCCACCTGTGAGCATGTGAGGGGAGGCAGGGAGAGAACCAGCTCCTCCTTGAAAACAGAAAACAACAGAAGTATGGTCTGGTTTTTCCAGCAATTAGCTCCATGGGGATCTCTGTAAGGAGGTCTCTGGTCTCACAGAGGCTCTTCCTTTCCTCTCGCTCTCCCTGTAATGATGCTACCTTGGCCTTCCAAATTTAATTACCAAGTAATTATCCATCACGTACAGTGACTTGGTCTTGGCAAAGGCTGAGTCTCACCACGAGGTATTTGAAACCAGGGAAGGTGTTGGGGAAACACCAGAAACCAGGGTGAAACACCGTGGCAGTGCGGTGAGCAACCCCGTGCGTGGGGACGTCATTGTCACATTGTGGTCCCCGGACCGCGTGATGCCATTCCCAAATCTGTTTAAATGGAGAACGGGAAAGGGACCGTGTGAGGAAGGCGCTTCCTTTTTGGCACATCCCGCACTAAGAAGTATTTGCCAATAAGCTGATAATCAGGTGGCCTGGCCACCCCTGGTACGTTAGACCTTGCTGCTTAGAGAATATTTGATCATACAGTGTCTCCATTAGGAGTTTGTAATCCGCTATCACGGCATTTGAGAGCCATTTGTGTATAAGGAGATTTTTATTAATGGTTCATGAGCCTAAAAGTCAAAATTGACTCTCAGAGCAGATTTTAACAGTTTGTGTAGCATTTATGTATTTATCTGTTTCTTCACCACCTCTTCTCCCCCCTGCCATCACCTCCCTCTGCTCTGCCCCAGCTCAGAGGTGCAGCAGCAGTAACAGCAGTGGGGCAGCCCCAGCAGCTGGATCTGCTGGATGGCGTTTCTCCTTCCCTTCTGTCCTTTTCTGTTTTCCTTTTCTGTTTTCCTTTTCTATGTTCCTTTCCTTTCCTTTCCTTTCCTTTCCTTTCCTTTCCTTTCCTTTCCTTTCCTTTCCTTTCCTTTCCTTTCCTTTCCTTTCCTTTCCTTTCCTTTTCCTTTTCCTTTTCCTTTCCCTTTTCCTTTTCCTTTCCTTTCCTTCTCCTTTCCTTTTCCTTTTTCATTTTTCCTTTTCCCTTTTCCCTTTCCTTTTCCCTTTTCTTTTTCCGTTTCCTTTTTTTCTTTTTCTTCCCTTCTTTCTTTCTCTTCTTCCACCTTTCCTTCTTGCTTTCCTTTCCTTCTGTTTCCTTTTCCCCTCCTTTATTTTTTCTCTCTTCCCCCCCTGCCATCCCCAGTGCCTCACCACACACAGCATTGCCACCAGCCCAGCCCAGCCCTTACACCACGTCCTGACCCCCCCAGCCCCCCTGCAGGGTCCTGGCCCTTCACCCCAGCACTGGCAGAGCCGCTTACACCTGCAGGAACTGGTGCTATAGGCACGGCTGTATCCATCTGTGCTATATGGGGTTACATATACGCACCGATACGTGCATTCGCGCAGTAGGCATTTATGACACGCATCAATATCTGCATTTATGCCATATGCATTGGTGCCACATGCGCTCGCAGGGATGTGCCGATAGGTGCATTTGTGCTATGTGCATTCATTGACATGCATTTCTGTGTGCAGTTGTGTGCCAAATCCGCGTGCACAGTGACATCAGCATTCACGTTATGTGCATCCACAGATAGGCACAATTCTGCTCTGTGCAGTGTACGGGGGTGCAGGGAGGGGGCTGCACGTGTGGAGGCTCCGAGCCCTACGCACCCCCTCGGTCCCTGCACCCTGCAGGGCTGGGAAGGGGGAGCAGAGGTGCCCCCTCCCCAGATGACAGCCCCCAGCACAGGCTGAGGAGGAGGGAGGTCCTGGTCCCCCTGTGACCACGGGGGCTGCCTTCTGGCTGCATGGCCCCAGGGGCTGGGGGGAACCTTTCCTCCCCTGCTCCTTGGGCAATGGGGGACAGAGGGAGGGAGTGAGGCCGGGGGGTGTGGGATTCTAGTGTCCCCACTCCCCTTTCAGTCCCCAAAACTGAGCTAAACCAAGCCCAACCCCAAGCCCAAACCTAACCCAGCCCTCCCAAACCCAAACCCACATCCATGCTTAACCTTCCCAATCCTCTTTCTCACCTTTCCAGACCCAAACTCAGCCCTCCCAAACCCAACCCACCCCCAACCCTCCAACCCTATCTCCACACCCACCCCCCCCAAACCCCAGGTAAAGGCAGTGCCAGAGCTGTGAGCGGGGGTTTTGGGGGTCCCTGCACACACACACCCCCCAGGGCCAAGTGGGGAATTTCTGCTGTGAATCCCTAAATCCAGCTTTTTTCAGTCACTCTCCCCTGTCTCCTTGGAAACTGGCAGTGCTCCCCAGCCCAGGGCTCCTCCTGGAAAGGCAGTCACCCCCAAACCTGTCCCTGTTTTGGGGCTCCCTGGCCTGGGGTGGGAGCAGAGGTGCCCTGGGCGAGGGCTGGTTACTGCGGAGAGACCGGGCAGCGTGGGCTGGTGCTGGCAAGGTGCAGGCAGGGAGTGGGCAGGGGGCAGGCAGGGGATAACGTGGAGGATGGGGTGGGCAGGGATCAGGCAAGGAGTGGAAAGGTATATCAGGTGAGGTGCAGGCAGGGTGCAGGCAGGGCGCAGGCAGGCGAACCGGCAGGGAATCAGACAAGGCAGCAGACCAGGAGCGGGAGGGGATCCTACAAGGAGCAGGGAGGGTGCAGGCAGGGCGCAGGCAGAGGAACCAAAGCCGGCATTGAGGCAGCTCAGCCATGGTTGGGGTCAAGATTTCCCTCGTGGTTTTCTGCTTTTTCAATTGCAGGCTATTTTTTTCTTTCCTCCGGTGGGAAATGTCACACTGCAGAACAGAGAGCGGATTCGCTGATATGTATATTTTCGGGGGGTGAAATCCCCTGAAATCAAACACCCTCTTAATCAGCTCTTTGCCCCTAAATCCAGCTTTCCAACACTAAACCGATGTGGTCCCCCCAGCTTTTCCCCCGATTTTATTGGATCCAGAATTGCCTCCTGCAGCCTGAGTTCAGAGGAAATGAATTCAGCTGGAAGGGAGATCTAGAACATTAAAAATGAAAAAGGAGTTAAAACGCTCTTTATATAATATTTTGCATTTGCCAGCTCACCTTGGGATTTTGCCCTTTGCCCACGCGAGTGTCCATTTAAATTAAAATTGGAAACAAACAGGTAGAGAAAATGTGGAAAGTGCAAAAAGCCAGGGGAAATTCAGAGACGTTCCTGCCATGAATTGCCTTTTTCTGATAAAAATGAGCTGTAGCCAGAGGAGCTCGTCCCTAACAGACAGGGAAATACTCAGGAAAGAAAAGTAAAAGATAAGATGGGGGAAAAAAAATGGGAAAAGAGGTTTTAAAGAGGCTTTAAGAAAAAATAATCAAAAGCCCAGGAAACAAAGAGCTTTTCCAGGCAGGTGGGATGCTGCGCAACAAGGACTTGCTTTTTCTGAGCGTATTTTGCTTGAATAGGTTTTTTAAGGGAGTAAACTTTGTTGGTTTGAACCAAATCAGCACAGAAATGAAACTTTCCGCACTGCTGCCTGGGAGCTGCCGGCGGCGGGGACCCGGCCGAGCCATCCCCGGCAGCCCCAGCCTCCGCTCTGCCTCGTGCTTCCCAAACCTGCCCTGCACGCGTCCTCCCACTAAAAACAAATAAATAAGAAAATGACCCACCAAGAAGCACCAACATGAAGCAGCATAAAAACTCCCCGTCGTTCAGAGCCGGCCGATAGGTTTATTTTAAAGGCTGACCTTTGCTCGTGGTGGTGGGGGACAAAAATGCCGCCGTAGGAAGGAGAGGGTTTGCTGGAGCCCACGGAGGGGAACAGCCGGTTTGGGATGTGGGGATGCGAAGCCGAGGGATGACCCGAGAGGCACCGTGACGGCGTTCGTGCTCCCCGGTCCTGGCCACCGCGGTGGGGTGACGGTGGCCGCACGCCCGCGGCTCCAAGTGACTCGCAGGCAGGAGGGCGCTGGTGACAGGGAGCAGGATGGTGATGGGTGCTTTTTTCGGCATCTCTCTCTCTCTTTCCAGAGGTCCATTTCTTTGCTGTGTTAAATCCAAACCGAGTTTGGGGCTCAAGCGAGCCCAGCGATGCACGCAGGAAGGAGAGAGGGAAAAAGAGGGACAGAGAAAGAGCCACCAAGAGCAAGGGTGCTTGGGAAGGGCCTGATCCTGCATCACAGGGCGCTGTGGCTTCAGCTGGTGAAACAGCAGCTTCAAAACTTGTCCCCCTCCTTCCCCGGCACCTCCGCTCGGACGATCCTGCTTGATTGCTCCCGAGTCCCCCCGCTTCTCCTCCCTGGAAAGTTTAGGGCTCTCCCCAAACGCAACCGAGGGCTGGCACCTCCCGGGAGGGCCACAGAGCAAACACATCCCTCCCTTCCCCACGAGAAGACTTGGGAAAGCTGGGGAGGGGGGAGGTCACATTATCCAAGGTCTGTTTGTAAGGAATGTTTTTTGCTTTAAAAAAAAAAATATCGGTTTTTTAAAAGAAAATAATCCTCCCTTCATTTTGCTGCTTTCACCTCGGGGAGCTGCCGGCAAAACCCCCTTTGTCTCAGCCCTGCAGAAGCGGCCGGACCCTCCGGGTCCCCCGTGCCTGGCTGCAGCCGAGAAATCCCTGCGGCAGACGGCATCGCCCCTCTCTGTCACTTGCCGGATGCGATTAAAATGGAAGACAACCATCAAGTGTGCTAGAACCATTTTAATATAATTATACATATCTGCCAAATCCAGGAAAAAAGGTTTATGCATATATATCTTTTTTTTTTTTTTTTCAGTTAACATCTGCAAGCATAAACGACAATGAATTTTTCGGTTTAAATTCGTCCAGGTCAGAGCAACTGCCCAAAGTCCTGTTGGATTTGACGGTTACTGCCGGCGTGGCCAGCAGTAAGTGAGCTCCAGAGGAGTTTAATGTCCTCGGGTGGGGTTTTTTCGGTCTTTTCTCTTTCATTCAGAGATAGTTTGCTGTAAAAAGTTTCAGTGCAGTTCACCTCGGGTGAAAGGCGATCATGTTTTTGTGTTTTTCTTTTTTTTTTTTTTAATATATTTTTTTATTATTATTTTTTAAAAGATGATAATAAGTAACTCAGTTGCTCTGAATTTCACTTATAATTATAACCTATTTAAATCACAGCAGAACTCCCGCTGGTGCGGAGTTCGTAGTTGCATACAATACAGGAGATCACAGTTTTGAAGTCTAGCACAGATTAAAAACCACAGATGTACCATTTATATAAGACACACACTGATTGTCTCTTAAAAACTACATAATGACTCCTTATGAACATTATCTTTTTTTTTTTAATCTTTAAATAAAGTAGTGCAGCTAGGACAATCAGTCACACAACCCACACAGCCCTGAACCAAGTTCTCCGGGTGCCAACTTGAGCAAGTTGGGCATGAAACAGTTGGATGAGCTCGAGAGCGAGAGAGAAAGAAAGAGGGAGGGAGAAAAAGAGGGAGAAAAAGAGAGATGTTGTCCATTCCAAATATTTTAACCGAGGGTTGGCTAACACATTGGAAATCTCTGGGTGAAGGATCTTTCCACGCACACACAAAAAAAGAAATAAAAACCTAGACTTTTTTTTTTTGACTTTTTTTTTTTTTTTTTTTTAAAACTGGCCCGTAGGTGGGACGATCTCCCACCTCTTCCAAACAAAGAAACCCAACAATTGCCTAAAACTAGAAAGAACACAGATGGGTCTGTCTGTTTTCTGCTCACTAGATGATCTGTCCGTTTAAGGCCTTCCTCCTCCGTTTTTCCTCTTTATTATTCCTTTTCCAGAGCGTCTGAGCAGGAGATGAGTCTGAACGGGATCACACCAACACTGTCCCCCTCTTGTTGCCGTCGTTTTTTTTTTTTGTTCATTTGTTTGTCCATTATTTTTCTCTTTAATTTAACCAAGACCTGACTAAAACTGGAGCGTCCAGCCCAGCCTGTTCGTTCTCGTCACGATTTCTTTCGTTATCACAAAGGTTCTTCACAAAACCTGGAACTTCCATGACGATGTCTGGTCCTTATAATCCAAGCAGTCAGCATTGAAGTTTAACTTCCAGGAGGCGGTTTGGTCTTTATAATCCAAGCAATCGGTGGTGGAGTTAAAGCCCAAACTGGAGGCTCCATAGCCCTGGGTGGAGAGGGAGGCTGGAGACTGGTTGAGGTGGCTGGTGACCGCGTTGGCACCCATGGGACTCAGGGTGGCCCCTGGTCCGGGAAGCTGGTGGTGCATAGGGGTCAAGTAAGATCCACAGTCCATCCCTCCGAAATAGGAGGTTGAGCCAGCGTATCCTTGGCTGTAGCCTGATGCCTGGGTGTAGGTCATAGGATAGGATCTCTGCATGCAGGAGGAAGAGGTGGACAGGGGGTCTGAGAGCGGGGAGATGGACGCTGGGCTCCAGATGGAAACGGGGGCACTGCTGCTGGAAATGGTGGGGACCGAGGTGCTGGAGGGGGGAGTGAACTGCCCGCTGGTCCCGCTCTCCGAACTCACTTCCCGGGCCGGTGAATTCTTCTTTTTAGCTGGCCGTACCTTGTTCTGGCCCCCGTTCTGCTGCTGCTGCTGCTGCTGCCGGCACTTGGCTCGGCGGTTTTTAAACCATACCTTGACACGGAGAGATGGGGAGGGAGAGAGAAAAAGCCTGGTGTTAGGGATGCACAGGAGAACCCGAGGGGCGAAAGAGCTGGTGGTGGGGAGACCTCACCGGGGTGGGGGAACTGAAAACGTTTCCCCCCCGTGAGCGGAGGGTTGCAGGCTGTGCGAGGAAAAGCTCCGGGGCTCCCCCTCCCTGAGATCATTAGCAGTAATAACAAGTGGAAATGGGCAAATCTTAAACAGCTTAATAAGGTCACTTTTGGGGGAAAGGCAGGGGGTGGGGGGGATCCCTATTTGCTGTTTGCCAGCCGGGGACCCCCAGGAATCACCATTTAAGGCCTATTGAAGTCCAGCCCTTAATTAGAAAGAATAAAGAATCAGGAACAACTAGGGAAACAGAAGCAGGGGTTGGGGAGCAGGGGTAAAGATGTCTCATTTACCCTCTAAATAAGATCGACCAGGGTCGATCCCCCAACCTATCTCACCCTCCT